GTTTTTTAAATAAGTGGAGGGCGGCCAAGCCCCCGGAGCCACAGAGGTAGTATAAAAGTTCTGTTTAAATCGCTTGTTTTAAAAATAAAGCTCCTCCACCCCACCCCTCCACCCTCCACCTCCTCCACCCCCCCTCTCCCTTCCAACCACCTCCTCCACCCCTCCACCCTGCACCCTCTACACCCCTGACCCCTACACCCCTGCACCCCTGCACCCCTCTGCACCCACCCCTACACTCCTGCACCTACACCTCTACAGCAGGGTTTTGGGCGGGGAGTGCAGGGGTGCAGGCGTGTGGAGGGGTGTAGGGGTACAGGAGTGCAGAGTTAGGGGTGTAGGAGCGCAGGGGGTGTGGGGTGGTGGGGGGTGTAGGGGTATTGGGGGTGTAGGGGCGCAGGGGTGAGGGTGCAGGGGTGTAGGGGTGCAGGAGTGTAGGGGTGTAGGGTGCGGGGTGTAGGGTGCAGGGGTGCAGGGGTGTGGTCATGGGTGTGGGGTGTAGTGTAGGGGTGTAGGGGTGTAGGGGTAGGGGTGTAGGGGTGTAGGGTAGGGGTGTCGGGTAGGGGTGTAGGGTGGGGTGTAGGGGTGTAGAGGTGGCGGGTCTACAGTGGGGGTCTTTGGCGGCCCGGGCCCGAAGCCAACGGAGGCAGTATGAAATATCTGTTTAGGTATTTAGAAATGCGCTTATTTCAGAAACTTCACCGTAGGGGTTTGTCTGGGTTTTGGGTTGTGGTGAAAGATTTCCTCCATATCCACCGTATAGTGCTAGTGCTAGTAGCGGTAGTGGTAGTGGTTAGTTTTATGAGTATGCGTACTACTACTACTACTACTACTACTACTACTACTACTACTACTGCCACTGCTACGATCGGGATGCCAACCATGGCAATGTTGTGTTGGAGCGCTCCCCCATCCAGGAAAAGCGCCTGCGAGCCGAAGAAGCATGGAAGGACAAGCGATCTGAGCTAGTCCAGGTCCGCCAACGAGATAGTTGATGGGAGAGTTGCGACTGCTCATTGCCTGCATCTTCCATCTGTACAGAAACAAAATGAAAGCTCGCTGACACTACCAGGCTCGCAAGGGGGAGACGACTGCCCAACAGCGGTTGGAGAAGGCAAGCAAGCCGTGCAGCTGCATGTCCCAACGCTGCTGACAATTCAATGCGACCCAACACACAATGGCCCGTGACGGCTAGTGCGCAGGCCGGATGCAGCTTGATCACTGTCCAGGATACCGGGCCCCGAGACGTGGCATCAGAGCGTCGTCAGCGTGTGGGAGCAGGACCGGCTCCTGAACCACCAGAACGCGCTGACCAGTGCCACGGAGGCGCGGCCCGGCTCGGCCTTGCCTCTCAAGTGGCCTCCGGATATCTGCGAGGAGGTTGAAGCTGCTGCTCTGAAGGCTGCAGAGGTCAGCCTTCTGCTACGGAGGTATACCATTCTTGCTCTCACGTTTGACGCCGAGGCAGCTGAAACATCCAAGGAGAGTCACGAGACTTTCGTGAAGGTGCGGCTCTCGGATCTAGGGGCGAAGATGTGCCAAGCTCTAGTTGAACACGTCTTTGGAGGCCCTCTTTGACGCTGAGAGCCAACTGGGCCTCGTCGACCAGCGTGGCGCTGCCACAGGCCGCGCCACAATTACGCCACCACGTAGTGGCCAGGAGTGACCGTGTTGGTTGTTCCACTTCCAAGGTGACTGTGCTGCCGACGCTGCGCCGGACAAGCCATTTACTCAGACTTGCTGTGCTGGCATCTGAAAGGTCGATTGAAGTTGTGTCGAGGTTAAAGAAAGCTCAGAAGGCACTGGACAAGTTGAAGACTTCGATGGAGAGCAATTTGTTCCGTCAGGCCATAAAGAAAGTTGAAACTGCCACTTAAGTGACTGCGTAGTCCGGACAGGTGGAGTATGAGACTGTGGAGGAGGATGTTCTCAAAGTCGAGCCAGGTAGGCACCTACAAGAGGTTTGCACACCTTTCTTGGACCTCAATGCAAGTCTTTGTCATGTAGCTTATGGAGGTGCCAGTGCTGGCATGAGATTTTAGACGGCTCCTCCCCCAGGCCGCGAACGGGAACGGCACCGCCTGGAGCAATTGGTCGCGAAGGTGAAACTCTGCTGGCCGAGTTGGAAGTGTCGGACAGCAACCGGACCCCCCTGGCTAGTGCGAGGCCATTCAGCGTGCCGAAAATTCACGCGAAGCGGCGGCGGCCCCATCCACTAATGGGCTAAACTTTGAAGCCTGGTTAAAAACCACTTGTCGGGTTGAGTGCCTAACGAATGTTTGGCACCTGTCACGCGCGCTGGAGGTGCTGAAGGAGGTGCAACATTTCGTGGAGGCTCCGACTTAAGCCTCACGGTGTGAAGTCCGGATCATGCATCTCCGTTAGGCCGGCATGTGGTTTGCAGAGTCTCTGCAGAAAACGCAGAAGCGGCCAGTACGGATGGACCAGGCCAAGTTGAGCATTTGCGTGGCATACTGGTGCGAACCAACAGAGCCGATGTTGATGCGAAGATGATTGAAGACACTTTCTGGAGCCGAGTCAGGTCAAAGCGGTCCAATCCACTGTGAAGGCTGCATTCCGTCAGCTGCCAAAAGCTTGGCAAGCTGTGCGCAGCGCCAGAGAGGCTCGACTTTTGTCCTTGATCCCATCGCCTTCCTACATGCCGATCATGCCTGGTAAGATATAAACGTTGCACATGCACAGGCGCAGGCGAAAGTTGGAGCCCAGCGACGCAAGGCAATGGCACAACATTCCAGAGTGCAAGACATGTGGGCAGCGCGCTTGGGCAGGTGGCTCTGCGCCGAGCCACAGCTGTACAGACAAAGGCGGAGTCAGAGGCAACTGTCCAAAGCGCATCGAATGAGCCGGGCTCCACAGAATCCGCGAGTCTTACGGGGCAGTGCCCTTTGCCTGCTTTTCTGACAAAGGGTCTCGGGGTCTTTGAGATTGCTTACAGATTCACCCACCCCTCGAGTGGCTGGGTACACCCAACAGCGACAGCGACAGCGCCCTTTTGAAGGACAGACTGTGTTCAACGTCAGAGTCTACATGCCTTGCTGGGTCTCTGCACAAAACTGGCCACTGCATGTTTGTAAACCAATTTCAGAGAGTGCAGGGTGAATACAGGTGCAGGAACCGGGTTTGATACGTCAAGCACGGGCACCTCGTCTTGCTTTCTTGAAACCAGATCGAACTGCTGTCATGTTGTTCTCCCAGTATTGCCTCCTGCCCTCCCCACAGAGGAGAGACACGATGAGACCACTGACACGAACAGCCCACCCCACCGCACTGGGTACGGGCATGCCGGGTATGCACCGTGCCGCCTAAGGCAGAAGGAGGCGGAGGCAGAAGAAGCCCAGCTGCGCAGCGAGCGCAGCGCAAGGGAGCTGCGGCCCCGGTGTCTGGTGGGTACGGCAAAGTTCCAGGGCCAGCAGTCAGCTGCAGCCTTGGTGCGAGTATTGGTTTCCTGTCTTGCAGAGGTCCGACCTGGCAGCCGCAGAGCTTGCCCGTCAAACCGCTCACCAGCGGGAGGCAAGATGGGCATGAAGGAGCGAAGAGAAGCGCGATGCCAACCCTTAGCCTCAGTGTAAGTAAGTGCAGCTGATGTTTAAACTCTCTATAATCATGCTGCGACAATGTTGGCAGCTATAATTACAGTGATACTGCACACTGTTTGTGAGACAGCTGGAAGCATTCATGCAGGTTACGCTTGTCGATTTGGCGAACGTTTCATTGTACAAATAGGCTTGTTTTCCTTGGCAGGTCGACATGAAACGGCGTCGTGATGAGCTGAAGGACTCCAAATGTGTTGAGCAGTAGTGGTGAATTTGCTCGACAGAGATTCGTGTAGCAAGACATGAGCGAGCATCCTCCGTGAGACTTTGTTAATTCCTTTTTGCACTGGTTTCATTGAGCGATCCATCATGATCCATCCCTGCTTTGTCTGACGCTCATGCGCTGGCCGCCACTGTGCAGGCCCAGCAACCAACCGCAAGGGATGCGGTGAAGGCTGCCCGTGCTGCAGAGCGCGAGGCGGATGCTGAGCGCAAGGCCAACAACGGGGGTGTTGCATTTTTGCAATTTTGAGGGCTTGTGGCAGAGAAGACAGGAAGGTGGTAATTGCCAGGTGTAGGAATGGTGAGGTCTACGATGAGATCGAGATTTGGGCCATGATACGGCAGAACTGGACAAACGGAAAACGACCGAGACAGCACTGCAACCAAGGTTCCGGAAAGTTGATTGTTTTCCTAAATTGCGAAAAGGCCCTACATGCGAGAGCCGAGAAGCGCGAGAAGGCACGGGAGCGTGCAGTGGTGACGGAGTGGACAGGGCGGATAAGAGTACCCATAGCAATGATTGGTACCATTTTCACTTCATGGTGAAATTACGGGGATGACGGTGGTGGGAAGAGGTTACACAAAGGTGTTGGAAATTCGTTTTCGTGCTTGCCTCCTCTCCTGCGATGTGCTGCTTTCCTGGAGGGGAGTGCCTGCGAGGGAACGGCTGCGCATTGACATTTTTTCAGGAGCAAGAGTTGCTGGAAGAGGCAAAGAGCACTGCCGCTTTGGACCCAGATCGCACTGCAAAGTCTGAGCCTCGCTTGTTCCAGCAGCGGCTGAAATGTGAGGTCAGACAGCTCAAGAACGAGGCATACGACGCCAACCAGGCTAGACTAGACCGTCAACGATCATCAGTTGCTTGCCAGGGCACGCACAGATGTTGCTTGGTTCAGGTGGAGCTTGCCTACGAGGAACGGAGAGGCAGCAAGAAGGCGACTGCAAACGCGAAGCCCGCACGTGTCCTACAGTGTTTTGATCTCTTCCCGAGGCTCAGGAATGAGAAAGCTTCCGCCTGCTCTTATCGAGCAAGCCCTGTAAGTCTTGTACAGTAATGGAAGGGCTGTTCAGATCTGCATTTCTGCAGCAAAGCAATCCTAAAAGTTTCACTTTGACTGTTTAACAATTGGTGGCAAGTACGATGCGAGTTATAAGCAGCCCAACATTCAGCGCCTCACGAAAGATTCGTTGTGAAGACCTGTCGGGTTTAACGCCACTTTGTGTTGCTGCACGTAAGTTCCTGTGAGAATCTGAGGAGGAGTTGCTGAATTGGCGTGCAAGACGCTACAAAGCCTGCCATGGGGGAGACCGGCTCAAGTGCGAAAAATTGAAAACGAGAGATCGAGCTGGGTAGACGCGCATGTTAAATACGAGTTTCTGAACTCAAAGTATCTCAAAGTGACTCCAGGTATGTTGGGGCAAGCAACAGGTGCAGCTAAGGGGCGCCACAGGTCAAAACGGTCCGGGCGCCAGGTTCCATCACAAATTCGCAGAGCCGGGCTGGCGGTTGGGGTGCCTGTATTGTGTCGCTGCTGCGGCAAGAATTCACCTCCCTGTGCTCCTCGGAGCATCTGTGCATCAGGGGTGCTCGATTGGTGCGGTGGTTGCAAAAATCGCTTCCTGCCATGGCTGGCACTTCTTCTTAGCGACCCTGCGCTGTTTCTGACATAAGCAAACGCTGGCAGGATTGCACTTGCAGGCCGAACATGTCCAGCGAAGTTCATCACAGCTTTGTTCATCACAGCTTTATTTCATGGAAATGGTATGAGAGCATGACAACAGCTGGGTGAACGCACGCCAAGAGGATGCCCAGGCAGCACAGCAGAGACACTTTTCTGCCCGGATTGATGGTTGGCTTGGGCGGCTCATTCGTCGCGACCAAGGCAGCTCAATCCATGATTCCGAAATGTCAGAGGCCTCGCAGGGGCCCAGTGGAAGCGCGGCACTTGACACCGCCCGTGTGGACGAGCTTGCCACCGACCTGGTCAGGCCGGGCATGCAGTGCAGTGCACAACAACAAATATGCATACATACAGACATGCCATTGCATTATGTTGCATAACGGTACAGTTGCAAAAAGCTGCATGCATAAATACATGCATACACACACGCACACACACACACACATGGACACATGCATACATGTACACGTACACACATACCTACTTACATACACTACATACCTACACCTCTGCATCTATATGTTCATTATGTATGTACAAGTACATATGCATATGCACATACATATTATATATACATACACACACACACATATATATATATATGCGCATGCATTCACCTGCATGAACATGACATATGTGATATGCATGCATACCTACGTACACACACACATACGTGCAGACACATACACACACACACATCCATCCATCCATCCATACATACATACATACATACATACATACATACATACATACATGCATGCATGCATGCATACATACATGCACACGGGACATAGTGCATACATACCTACATACATGCCATACATGGCATACTTACACACATACCTACATACATACCTACATACTGACGTATACGTACGTCCGTAAACACACACACACACACACACACACACACACACACGCGCGCGCGTGCGTGCGCGCAAACGCACACCCCCATGCAAAAGGAGCCTCACACGCATACGGACGGACGGACAGACAGACAGACGGTCAGACAGAGACGGACAAACAGACACAGACAAAACAGGAAAGAACAAGACAGACACTGACAGAGACAGACACAGACAGACAGGCACAGGCAGCCGCAGAGACGGAGACAGCAGGTACAGATATAGAGTCAGATAGAGACAGAGGTAGACAGAGACAGAGAGACAGACAGGCAGACAGGCAGGCAGGCAGACAGACAGACAGACGGACAGACGGACAGAGGCAGACAGAGACACAGGCAGACAGAGGTAGAAAGAGACAGACAGAGTCTGGAGAGAGAGAGAGAGAGAGAGACAGACAGAGACCGACAGACTCGGACACAGACTGGCAGGGGGGTGAGAAGCCTCCCATATCTGTCGAAGCGGACCTTTCAACTCTTCTCGCACTCTGGTCTAGGTGTTGTAGATTGCTGATCCGTCGCAGCATGCTTTGCGGCTTTGCAGGACTGTCGAAACTGGCCGAAGACAGCTACACGAGGAAAGGGAGAAGCTCATCTTGGAATTTGAGGCTTCTGCCGTGCGTCTTCGGCACGTCAGCAGTTGCCAGACCTGTCGCATTTGCCGCGCAGGCCTCACGTGTCCAACTGCACACTGAGTACTCGCACAGGCTGCTGCAAGCAGATGAGGCCTGAAGTGTTTTGAAGGGGTATAGTGTCGGACACGTGGGAGAGCAAGGCTTTCCTACATTCATGGTGTTTTTGCATTTGCCGAACAGTCCCAGGACCTTCGCTCCGTGCAGGAGGAGCGCTCCTCCCGACGTGAAGCCTCGTCTGTGAACTTGCACGAGATTGTCAACCTCAACGTGAAGACCCCGCTTTTTCACAACAGTATTGACATGTACCATCCTACCACTATGCCTCGGCCCTGGTTCTTCACGCTCATTCACTCGCACACTAAGGTTGGGGGCAAAACGTACACGGTGAAGCGTGAGACGCTGTGTGTTTGCCGGGGGTCCTTCCTGGCCGAGCTGTTTTCTGGGCGCTGGGACCGGCTTCTCCAGAAGGACGAAAAGGGTCAGTTCTTCTTGGACATCGATCCGACAGTCTTCGACATCGTGCTGGCTTGGCTGCGGGACTGCAAGATCGAGAGCCCGACGCGGCCCGCATCGTGTCCGACCGTCCCTGAGGAGCACATGCAGCACTTTCAGGCAGGGGGTGCTCGAACGGACTCTGCTTCAATGTCTACTTTCCGTGCTGCAATAGGCTGCAGTGGATTATTTGGGCCTGCGGCCTTTTCTCGCCGTTGGCGGTCTGGGACCCAACGGTTGGGCTTCGAGCTCTGCCATGCCAGAGGCTCGACAATGCGGGACAATTTGGGACAACTAAGTGCGCGGGGATTCGCCCTGGCAGGCCCCTTTGAGAGATGGAGGTCCACGCCCCGCGGGAAGCTTCCTGAAGGCCGCAGGCAGGAGCTTTCGCAGCGCAGCATTGCACCAGGATGCATGGAGACATCGCCGTCTTGCAGGTTCTTTGAGCTCCTTGTTGTCCTCTTGGCGATCTTCGGGCTCCGCACCTCTCGTCCGAGCAAGTGAGGTGGGCACAGTGGTCTGATAGACACGAACATACGAGGGCGGACGGCCGGCTTGATATGAGTATATGTGAGTTCAGCTGATAAGAATTGCCAGGCGCAAGCCCTGCCAACTTCGAGTGCCGCATCAGAGCCTACGCCTTCGAAGGTCGTGGGTTGGCAGCTGACTTACACAAAACTGCGAAAGAATGCTGCAACAAGACTGCTCTCAGCTTCCGAAGATGTTTCGTCTGTCGCATAACGGCCGTGTAAGGTCACAGCGGAGCTCAGACCCTGCAGTCTGCAGGAGGGATGAGGAGGCCGAAATCTGTGTCGGTGTAGGATGTATGCCCCAGGATAGCTATTACCGGAATGGAGTCATCTTGAATCTTGATTGTAAGACAGGTGACGCTGGCTCTCATCCCAGAGACGCGTGGCTCTGCCACGGCCCGTGCGACTCGTGGCTTCCAGAGCGGCCAGCACTGCTTCGGAGTGAATCCCTGCAGAAACACATGGAAGGTGTTTTGCGGACATGTTCTGTCTAAGTCGACACGTAGATGATTAGGATTTCTAGTCGGGTTCTGGGTGAGACTGGTGAAACCTTTAAAACTTTAAGAGTAGCCTTGTATTTCGTGGGGAATGTTTCGTGCCAAAGTTAATGCCGCTACTTTTCCAACATGGTCAGGAAAGTCGTCGTGGGCGCTGATGGTTTCGTTGGTCTCGTATCTCCACAGTGGACTGGGGCTTCGTGAAGTTCAGGAGACAGGCGACGGATGGAGAGCGCAGTGCTTGGCAGGAGCGTAGCGGCAGCCGCAGCGTTGCCGTTGGGCCGGTCACCACACTCCTGGGCCATAGCCTCCGATGGCACCGTCTGGGTGGCAGGGAGGCCGCGGAAGAGAGATGAAGCACTCCCCAAACACGACGGTAACACTATGCGGTTAATGCGTTTCGGGTGAGCGAGGTGCGGGCTGTCATGCATGGAGATTGCACGGCTCCCGCTGTGACGTACATATTTTCGCGTCATCACCACTGCCTTGGAAATGATTGTGGGGGGGTGAGGTCCTTAAATGATTGCAAAAATCCGCAATCATTTCCGCTAGCCCCAAAATGATTGCAGGGGGTTTAGGGGGTAGATCCTGGAGACAGCTTCAAAGGTTTGTATGCTTTTGTCTTGGTGGTATGGCATGGCATCGCTTGTCCCGGGACTAGACATGCTGTCAAATGCTTTCGGTTTGGGTGAGGGGGTCAGGGGTCCCGCAATCATTTTCTGCACCGGGGTGTGCGGGGGTTTGGAACATCTCCAGAGGCAAACCCCCATGTTCGGCGTTTGCAAAGCCGGGTTTTCGGGCTGGGCTGAGAATCGGGGTTGTGTATGGTGATGTCCTGCTGGTCTGCAAAATGATTGCAGGGGGGGGGTCCTGGGATTCACTCTGAAATGATTGCAGAGGGGTTGGGTTCACTGTAAGGGAAGGATTTTAGGAGATACCCTGGTAAATGATTGCAAGAGGGGGGTTGAACTTGTTCAGTGAGGGGTGATTTCGCGTCTGTTTTCGCCACGAGCCCGCGCAGGTCCGGTCCGCCGAAAACATCGTTTTGATTGCTTTTGGCCGAGACTTCTGTTGTGCACTAGCAACCGTGCTCCCACAGTCCCAGGCTCTTCTTCTTCTTCCTTCAAATCGAATCGAAGTCTCTAGACTCTAGACTAGACTCTAGGGAGTTGTGGGGTCCTCGGGCAATGCTGCCGATCGGAATTTTCCGAGTTCGCAGTCGTGCTCCCTCCTGCCACAGTTTCGTGCGCTTTTTCGTACGGATGTGCTCTTTGTAGGGGTTTCAGGGGCGCATAGAATGAATGGCTTTTGAGTGTGGATGGTATAGGCTTGGACCAATGGGTCTACTAGGTTCTCTTCCGCTTTTTGGCTTCCTTGGTTGGCATTGCGAAGTGATGACATGCTGCCTTGCCTGCAAGGGAGCTGGAACGCCTCCCGGTGGCTTTCGCAGAAGGGAGCTGGATTGCCTTCGTTCTGACGTGCCTTGCAAAGAGACAGAGAAACTGCCTTCCTCCTCCCTATGTGGCCTTGGAGTATGTCGGTAAACCGAAGGCTGCCGGCAGTGGGACTACGGACGGCCACCGTGTACGTCGACGGTCAGCCTTTCGAGAGCCTTCTCTTCAAGAACGGTGTCCGAAACCATGGTCCATGTTGTCACTTCTTTGCCTTCCATTCCCAAGGAAAGTCTTCACGGACCTGCCGGACACGGTGTATCACGACTGATATCACACCGCCTATTGGCTGCTGCCGCAGCATGTCATTGGCGGCTGCCGAGGTATCCGGCAGCATCAAATCTGAGATTGCCGGCCCAGTTTCGACTTCGGTGCGATCTCTCCTTGGAGGCCTTGGAGAACTTCCGTTTGCAAGGCGTCTTAATGCTGTCCTTCTTATTGTCTTAATGCTGGCTGTGCGCCGAGTGCTGCACCGCAGAGGACCTCATCCAATCCAATGCTGTGGAAGCCTCACCACCAGCCGAGTGACAAAAGTGGAACAGCATGGAGCACGCCGATCATGCTAGGCTGCAGTACACCTTCCGGCAAGCGATTGCACAGTAGGGGTGCTCCTGGTGGCTATGTTTGGTACAGCATCTCAAGAGATATGAGAGACAGGAGGAGCATGTCTGTATACATCCCACCAGAGCATGAGATATGTAGTTCATAGTTCTCTACGCAACGCGCAGAAGGCAATTAACTCGAAGAGAGACGGCAACTCACACACCGATGGCCCGCGAACTCTGCGAGCTGGAGGAGGGAGCCGCCAGGGTGTTTGATCTCAAAGACGAGGAGGGCTATGCCGAGTACTTTCGCTTCTCGGCTGCGCAGAGACTTTCTCGGCCGGGCGGCTGGATGCAGTTGGGCTGTCTTGCTTCTTCAGCCTGTAAACTGAGGCGAGCATGGCTTCGTCGTAGTTCGTGACGTGCTAGAGTCCAAGCAAGTTCAGGCCACGATCGAGGAGATTTGGGCAAGCCCCAGCCTTCTAGGAGGGCGTGTGGACCCCGAAGATCCAGACACGTGGAGCGATGGCTGGCCGGTTGGATGCCGGAACTTCTTGGACCCCTTAGAGCCTTGCTCGGAGGTTGAGACTTGGCGCAACCGCGTGAATCCTGCCGTGAACCGGGTGTTCGACGTGCTCTGGGAGGGCTTGCCAGAACTCGACAGCGACGAGGCCCAGCATGATCTTCCCGTGGGTGAAGTGAAGCAGTCATGAGAGTTTCGAGATGTTTCGAGCATGAGCTTCTGTCAGGAAGGTGCCAGTGCGGAGGGAGGTAGCCTCGTCATGTCCGTGGACCGTGTTGGCGTGATGCGCCCCACCAAGTTGTGCAAAGCCACGACAGACGGGCAGATGTGGGTGGAAAGGCCGGGACCGGCCATCATGGATGCGAGTGGAGCGGGCGGCGGGCTCTGGAAGCATGTTTCGAGGCCGGAGTGGAGAACGAGCCGGAACTGGCTGCACTGGGATCAGAATCCATGGCTACTCAGTGGCAAGGAGCCGTCATCGTCACACTTCTGGTAGTGTCCAGTGTGGCAGGGTCATACTGGCCTCTTGATGTGCTTGAGTTGGATTTGAGGTATCAGAGTTAAAAGCGTGCGATTCAAACGACATTATTTTGAGAAAGATGCACGGCTGGTCTTGATGTGAACATCACGCCGCTTCGGGCAAACAGTCAAAACTAGGTGGAAAGCTGGGGCTTGAAGACATCTACCAGTGGCTAAAATTAAAGTAGGTTTGACTCCATCAGGACAGGCCTCGTGCGAATCCCAAGCTTCCAGGATTGAAAGTTGTGCTAATGCTTCGGATTATAAGAAGCAGGAGCTACAGACTATGTTCTCAGATGAAGATACGTTTCCGCATGGAGTGACTCGCACAGTGAAACCTGTCGATGCTTCTAGCTTCTCATGTCTTTCCATCTTCCGTGCCAGGAGGTGCCACGTACTGCACTTGTCAGGTGGTCTTGTGCCTTGCACCGATTCGCTTTTCAGAGGTCGTCCCCAGGCTTCACGGCCGTGCAGGGGCTGCTGTGCCTCGCAGGACGCCATCAACTATGGTATCTTGTTGCCATTCAAGCAGTCTGCAGCAGTGACGGTGCATGACGCCCTGAATTGCATTTTTGGAAACTGCGAGGAAGCTCTGGCAGCTCTGGGGGCTTCGTAACTGTCCCGGGCTTCCATCGAGAGTTCGCACACTGGAGCCAGCGGCATCCGGCCGGCAGCTCCGCCTGTGATCCGAAGAATTGGGACCTGTTAAAGTTGTCAACGGAAATGTCTAGGTCATAGGGCAGACGCAAACAGCTAAAGCAAGCTTCGTTGCTTCGGGCCTGGCACTGAAACGGCTCATTACACACTGGTAAGCTTTGCTGGCAGTGTCAGGGCACAGGTATGCTGCTCCGTTGCAGCGGCTTATTGTGTTCTTGTGGCTGGGTTACCGTCGAAAGATTTTGGGCCAGACCATCTTGCTCTTAGTGAACAGTTGCGCTTACACCCACCCGCTATATCTCTAGCTGAACTGCGAGACAATTGCTCGTGAAAGCACGTACGGGTTCGGCAAACCCTTTGAATCCGGTACAGCCCGGCCGTGCAAGCGAATAGCTCTTGTAGCGCTCTAGCGAACGTGCTTCTGTTGAAAGCTTTAGGCATCTCACATACAATGTAGTTCAAAAAATCTCAGGCAGCATTCCGAAGCGGTCATCCACGATGATACCCTTTCCCGTCCCCGTTGATGATGAGATGCAGGCCGAGTGGGTTGCAGACAGCTTCATGACTGTTTTAAAAGCAGATGCACCTGTCGTAGTGGGAAATCCCCTGTCGTTTGTAGCAATTCTCGAAGAAGCCGTGTTGACCTCCATGTCTGCAGTGCTAGGATCATCGATGCACTAGCATGACACAGGCCTGAGTGACATCTGACTTACTGTAGGCGCCTTGAGATCAAGCCCCAAAATGGCAAGCGTTTTCCGTGCTAGAACTTCGGAAGCCGACCTTCGTTCCAAACGTGTGCTTGGACATGCTTTGATTGCAGGCAAGAAGACGAAAGGTCTTAGTTCCGAGCGGTGGTTTGCTCGTCTGGGACTCGCGGCTCCCGCACGAGAACTTTCCTAACGAGGATCACTCGTGGCGGATCGCACCAAGACAGCAAGAAGAGGCACTCAGCACTAGCAAGCTGCAGCTTGTAACCTTCCCAGCAGAAAGCCTCGATCCCAGGTGCAATATGTCACCTGCAAGCGCTTGGTCATCTCTGACTTGGAGCATCGTGCCAGAGCTTGGCACGCCGGCTTGCGAACAGGCTGCGCTCGGTCAAGGGTTGCCATTGAATGATGCGGTGCTAGAAGCGAGCGAGCATGTGGCGTACAGTCCTTTCTCTTTGTCTAATTACCGTCTCTGGCTGCCCCCTGAAGGCCTCGTACCATCGAGCTTCGCGCGGCGCTTCGCACCGGCCGAGCAGCTGAGGCAAGCACCAATGCATTGCGTTTGCTTTGCTGGTTATTTCAATCCCGCCCGATGCCTCCACTACCGATACACAGCCTCAGCTTTGCCGCAGCGGCAATATTAAGTGCTTGTGACTGCGCTGAAGGATCGACGGCAGAATGCAAGATAATTCGCGGTACAGAGAACACAGATTGCGAGGATCCGGTTTACCATGAGTCCCTCGTAAAAGACTCTGCCCCTGCAAGCATCCGCATCGAACCTGCAGTTGCATGGCCTTAGGCAGCTGTAGCGTGAAAGTTCTCAAGCTGCCCGTAGGTAAGTGGGCTTGCTGCTCTCAGCAGCTTCAATGCACCGACTTTGTCGTGCTGTTTATGAGCTAGCCAGCATGCTAGTGGGTGTCATCAAGCTACCGTCCTGACTTAGAGCTCGCGATGAGAATGTGCATGGATCGGGGCTTAGAGGGTGAGTATAAAAACCGGCTGGGCTCTTTCGAACAGGTCAGAAGGTGGCCTCGGGTGAGCTGATAAGAGCGCAACTCCTGAGAGTGCTCTCGACGAGCTTCTGGGAGCTTCCCAGGCTGGGCATGGCGATGGACGGCGACGGTTCCTTTGGCATGGCAGCGCTGCAAGAGGCAATCGCCATGGGGGAGATGCTGTCCTCAGAGGCTTTGGAGGCGTGGGGAGCATTTGGGCCCTTTCTCCCAGAATGTTTTGATCTCGGTGAAGTCTCCCACAGGCAGCTCGCAAGCTCCGGCGAGCCTATCGACTGAAACAGACTGCTGAGCTGCCCACAGAGCTGCAGGAGAACGTGAGTGTCAAAGTTTGGGAACGGCGCTTGCCTGTGCTTTTAGGAAGCGAAATGACACGGAGCATGCTGGACGTGAAATACAACTCAGCCCGTCAGAATTCAGAGTCGGTCTGCAGATACGTCTCAGAACAGGATAGAAGGGAAGCCAGTGAGAGCAGCTTCAATTTTGGTACCACCTTTACATTGTACCTCTCTGGAAGCTTACCGTGGATCCCACAGTGTTTCTCTTTCTCACTCGCTCACTCTCTCACTCTCCCGTCTCTCTCTCACACTCGCTCTCTCGCCCTGCAGTTACCTTAAGCCCAAAGCAGAAGCGCGGATGCGTGAGTTGTAGGAGGCGACAGCGCTGTTCCGAGAGGCCTGCCTGGAAACGGGTGACAGGGTCGGGTAGTGGACGAAAAGCTGAAACGTGATAAGTGCTCACTTCGTAAGCATTGCCAGGCTTTTGCGGCCAATCCAGACCTGAAGCTGCCGCTACAGTGCGTCGCCAAATCTGAGAGCATCTCTGCTAATGTGGTGGTGCTTTTGGGGGGAATGCAAGCAGCAATGCAGTGCTTCCATCACTTCTGCTTCTAAGGCACGTATTTGCCGTTTTGGCTGCTCTGAGGCAACACCGGTAGTGCAGGTTGCTGAAATCGGCGGAAAACTGGCAAGTCAGAACGGTGGGCGATGTGAAGCCTGCTGCCTAAGTTATGCGGGAAGTTCAGACGTGAAAGTCAAGGTCAACTTCATACGATTGTTTTTCATGACGAAAGCATTGTCCTAGCCATTTGGGCCGAAGTGGTTGGCCAGGTCGCTGCAGGCACGCCTTCACTCTGTTGACGGCTTCGGCCGAAGCACCATGTCGCCAGGACCTGCTCCATCATGGCTTTAGAGCAAGACTCCGGCAGATTGCTCCAACTGGAGGCCTCAGCCGTTGCAAAGTGGTTTCGTTCCACGGAACAGCCGTACACAATAGCCGAGCCGACAGCATCCAATGCAAGATACAGCTTGAAAAGGCAAGGCGATCAGCACATGACTCTGAGCAAAAAAGGAACAAAAAGCTATCATAAGCTGGCAATGTTCATTTACCAGTTTCAAAACGTGCCCAGGGTGACGAAGCTTCGCGGTACATCCCAAGAATCTTTTCGCACGAGGAGCCAAAACAAATGACACTTTCGCATGAGGTACACAAATACCGAAGTCCTTGGCATCCGCAGCACATCCGGCAATTCTGCCGCTGATGTGTATTTCAGCCGTGCAGCGTCCAAAGTGGTGAGATGCGGCCTGATCTGTTATACGTGGAAATGAATGATTGAAGTTGATCGCCTCCCGGAGAATGAATGCTGAAATGGGTTTCATACTGTATTCCATCAGCAGCATTACGCCCTGCACTGTCGTCGCTTCAAACCGCAACTGTTTTCGCAGTTCAAGATCTCTTCGTTTCTGGCCATCGGATTTGTCAGTCCCCTCCGAGACCCTGAAGACCCTCCGGCGTGCCCAGATGGGTGTGGCAGGCTTCCATTCACCACTATTGGACAGCGGGAGAGCTCGATCGATGTTGGGAAAAGCCAGACCAGTCACTCTTGACCTTTCACTGCATCATAGATCGTTTCACTCCTTCCAGCCCAGCCCGGGGCTTCACGTTTCGTTTGAGGCTAGCTCCCTTTCAGCCTTCAGCCCTTCTGTTTTGCAGAGTCGTCGACGGCCTGTCGACCGACCTGAGTTACTGGAGCTTGCTGCATGCCTGGCTCTCCACCAGTTGCTCCAATGCTCCAAAGAATGGCTCGATGGCGAGATTACTTCAAACCAACGCGGTGCCGTGGCAAGGGTGGTTCGGTTGGCTCCTGGCCGGCTGCATGATGTGAAGGAGGTGTGGAGGACAATCCGGCGGATGCGTACGGCTCTTCATCCCCTTGCTGTCAAACGGATTCAGCAAAGCATCACTCGTTTATCCTCACTGGTAGGTTATGCCACCCGTACGACGAAGGCTGACTTAATCTGGCACTAGCCGCCTACCTCATGTGGATCTCATCCGGTAGAACATGCTGTTCGACATTCGCCATTGCCTTAGCTCTCCGTTCCCTATGCAGGGGAGATGATCGTCAGCCTGTGACCCTTTAAGAGCCGTGTCGAAGACATGAGATGAGCTCCCATTATCATGGAACGAATCATCACAACTTGCCTTCAGTGAGTTGTCCAAAGAAGGAACACCCTGGACTGCAGAAGCAGAAGCTTGCCATAGCCGGAAACTTGTTAGGAGCCAACACATAATGCGCGGGACGCCTCTACTTGAGGGGCATCGAAATATGCGGAACCTGGAAAGCTACCGCGTGGACCGGGATGATGAATACTTCCAAGAGTATCGTCAATACTGCTGCAGCTGTGCTGGGTAGAGTAAACATGATTATACTGCGATATTTGGGCGATGCAGTCTTCTTCGCATGCAGAGTGCCAAAGACGGGCAAAAGGCACATTCTCTGCCGCAACAGTCGTTCGGTCCTGGCGGGAATTCTCGGGCATCATCCGACAAACTGAAACCGGCGACGATGTGGACAGATCATAATATCGCTTTTCTCGTCTCCACGCATGTTGACAGGTCGAGGGGGCAGATCCCGAGGCAGGCCAGCAGGCCTTGGACAGCAAAATGCCGTGCCACATATCCTGTGTTGTTCTCTGTGCAGCTTGCCAGGTGGTGGATCCACCCTCGCCATTTAGGAGCACATATGTCAAGGTACCGGTGTCGGCGCCCGCCTGCCGAGATACATGTTTTCCTGAATTGTGAAGGTTTTTTGTGGGGCTATTTTGGCAGCTGGCTTGATGGTCTTGTTCTGACCTCAGTTGCGACAGGTCTTGTGGAACACAAGTTGAACAAATAGATGTGTCAGCCTCCAAAATTCGTGAAGTGACACTGTGGCAAGGATCAAAGAAGGAGCCAGAGCTAAGCATAGAGAAGATGAGAAGTCGATGCCAGTAGCGACAGGAGGCGCAGTGTCAGTCACGACCTCAAATGAAAATCCCTTCGCGATGCAGCCGCACAAGATGCACAAAGCAAAGGAATGGTCATCATGCGTAGCTGCCGGCAATACCTTGAACTTCCTGGATCGCACTGCCAGCACAAAGACGGAGTGTCTGTGAGCATGCCTGCGACGGATGATGACACTTGAGTAATAGTTCGATGATCAGTCATGAACAAACGTCTCACGGTAGGACCGTGTCAACGCAGAGGCTTGGAAGTTGCGGCAAGCGATGGTGCTAGCTCTGCAGCTTTTTCTTGGTGCTGCGTACGGAAGGGCTTGGCGAGGGATCCCTTCGCTTCTGGCCTTCAAAACACAACAGAACGACAGAACGAGAGAACAAGAGAAGAGTCAAAGCGTTATTTACAATGACAGCACATGGCTCAATGCAAAACCCTTGTCGATGCTTCTTCCACAGGGAAACGTCCAACGTCGTCCGAAATCCCTCTCAAGCCAAGCCTCTACCAGGATGTGGCAGCCGCAGAGAGAAAGCGCCCGGGCTTCCATGGAGGACGTTGAGGTGCGAGGGCTCAGAGGACTGCAATGTTATGCGGCATGCGTATCTGAGTATAAGGTATGTACATACGTCTCAACCATATACACAGCACATGAATCAGTCTATCGATGCAGCAATCACCAAATCTAGCTGTTCTATTATCGATTTGTCGATCTGTCTTTCTCTTTATCTATCTACTTACCTATCTATCTATCTATCTATCTGTCTATCTACGTATCTATCTATCATTATTTATCTATATGAATATATCTTTCTACCTACCTGCCGACCTACCTACGTATCTATCGATCTATCTATTTATCTATCTATCTATCTATCTATCTATCTATCGATCTGTCTACCTATCATTATATTTATCTATCTATCTTTCTTTCTATGTACCTATCTATCTATCTATCTATCTACCTATCTGTTTATCATTGTTTATCTATATACCCATCTGTCCATCTATCTGTCTGTCGATGTGTTCATCTATCTGTTTGTCTACCCGTTCATCTATCCGTACATATAAGCAGCATACATACATACATACCTACATACATACCTACCTACCTACCTACCTACCTACCTACCTACCTACATACATACATACATACATACATACATACTAACTAGGTTCGATCACACTTGCACGCATGCTGCATGCGTGCACAGAAGCCTTAATGTATGCCTTACGACATACATAAACATACATGATATGCACACATACATGTCTGCATAAATGCAGCAGAATAACAGACGTAGAGACATGACACGACATGACATGACATGACATGATATGATATGATATGATATGATATGAGATGATATGACATGACATGCATGCATGCATGCATGCATGCATGCCTGCATGCATGCATTCATTGGCATACATAAATTCGTACTTCCATACGTGGGTATGTGAATATTCGCGCGCGCATGCGATTCCTTCTGTCTCTAATCCAGCAGAGGTTCGATGAGAAGGTCTGCTTCGTGTGACATGCCAGGATCTCGCGCAAGAGGCACCCAAGCCGTGTCTTTGCATCTTCGACATCGACAGAACGCTCACAATGAGGCAGGAATTAAGCGGTTGCTTGCATGCCTCGCAGCAAGACTGCTGCATCATGGTCCATTGCTCTTGGGGAATTTGGGGGCAGTGACTGCACGCGCTGTGTACTACCAGTAGTACGACACATGCATCGGTGCTGGCAAGTGCACAAGCTGAGGGACTTTCTGCCCTCTCGTTGTTACTCAGGGCTCAGTAGCTCTGATGTTCGCATTGTCGAAGCACCCCGCCTGATCCTCTCTGGCTTCTGTGGTGAAATGGCCAGCCGAAGTCCACTTCTGAAGCAAGCTGCCGAATGCTCTGCAGAATGACACATGGTTGAATGGAAGAGGTGCCCAGTTGCAGTTCATGAGCGCCTTGGAACTGTGTACACTCATTCAGTCTTGAGACAAGGACATCCCTCTCGTGGTGGACATCGTTGTTTCTTTGTCTTGCTTCGCCTAAAGGCTGTCCAGAGCCAAGACTCTCGACAGAGGGTTCATGTAATGAAGGCCCTGAGTGGTTGCATTGGTTGTCTTTCTGCCGTAGTCAGGCCATTTAGCCTTTGATGAGAGAACAGGCGACACTTGGATGCATTGCAACTGTGCGAGTGCGGTCTGAATCCAGCTGGTTCTCGAGTGGCACAGTCGTCCGACCATACCAGACAGAGTCTGGAAGCCTCGACAGTACTGGACTTGCTCGTGCCTACGTAGTGTTCCCATTTGCTGCAGCTGCTGCAATGAGAGCTGTCTCAGGAGACAGGCCATTCTTTCTTGGCGCGTTGCGCACTCGCTGCACGCTCTGCAGCGGAGGCTCCGACACTTAAGCATCTGTCAACAGATGCTTCTCCATGAATTCAAAACTGAGATGCTGCGGGTATGCGACGCAGGGTTCTTGCGAGGCTGTCGGGATGGGCAGAGAGCTTCCGCTGGGCGTGCCGGAGTTGCGGGGCTGCCTTGCTACTGGGATAGGCAGTCCATGCATTTGACCATCGTTTGTTTTTCGAGGGGGAATTGGGGCTGAGAAGAAATGCATACGAAGACCCTGGCATCTCGAAACCGCCCTGCACCATTTCAGGACACCTCTAGCCAGCTTCAGGATGAGGCGCTCAGGGAAGAACGATGCAGCTTGTGTCCAGAGGGCTGCGTGCTGGTCCTCTTACTAGAGGCGGGATGGGCTTTCACTGGCATGCCGGCGACGGAAGGCACAGGTGCAAGTTGCCCACCGACTTGCCATGATCAAAGGCCTTGGCATTCCCGGCGCAGCATCTTAATGTGCTGCGCTCAGTTTGTCACTGTCCTGTTTGCATTTTAAGATTTGCTGAAACTCTCTTGTTTGGCGGTGGCTCAGGTGCGCCACTGTTCTTTATCTCTGATGTTCTATTTCCGGGCCAGCATGTACTTTAAGGACCGCTTCCTCGAAAAGCGATTCGTAGTTTGCTGTCGAAGTTTCCGCTCTAGGATTTCGAGCCGCACTGGACATTGGACTTGCGAGACAACCTCGCCCCACTGGTGGCTTCCCCAACGGCAGCTGGGGGCACGCGCTGCCATGCTACTGGTAGCACCTTTATGGTGCTCCTTGAGGTGAATGTGCGGCGAGGCCAGTGTGCCAGCGCGCGGGAGCGCGAGCTCCAGGCTCGGCATGGAAATGCATGGCATTTGCAGACTCTGTTTGTTTTCTGGCACTGCGTGGCACCCGCAGGGCCGAGGTGTGCCGCAGCCACAGCCCACTCGGCCTGCTCCCGTCCAGACATCCCGCCGTGGCCACGGCAGCCTTCCCCGTGAGGAACAGGCGCGCGGACAAGCAGATGCAACAACACGAAAGCTTCGGCGTGGCCTGCTGCACCTCCCCGGTATAAAACCAATGATCGGGACCCTATCTGTCTCTCACGATCAAGACTCGAATTAAGACTCTCGTCTGCTTCAGAAACGCAGGCAGCCTTGCTAGTTCAGCTTCATTGTTGATTGACGCACCATCGCTCGAATATCTTTGCAATCGTCATGCATCCTCGAGAGGCGGCAGTGCTCATCGCAGCGACGCCGGCGATGCTCAAGAAGTATCAGCCCTTCATCAACTTGTGGAGATGCTATGCGCTGCGCCACGGGCATGCCTTTCTCCTCGAGACGGACGAAGGCCTACTTAGACTGCACGCTGAAATGCTGCTACATGCTTCGCCTGCTAAGCATGCCCAAAAGCGGGGTGGGCCTGTGGCGATTGTGCACTCGGTGGTGCAAGGAGAGGTTCGAAGCATAGCATATCATCCACTGCGCATGCGGCTGGGCATGTACACCGCGATTGGATCGCCCGTTAGTCGCAAGCTACGATGTGAAGTGCAATGTGCTGTGAAAAAGCAGTGTGCAAGGCGAAGCGCCGGCGCCCAATTGGTTGCGCTGGTACGCTGCGAGGCGGTATTTGCCGCTCTATGCAGCGATCCTGCAACCTGGCTGAAATGAAACTCATGAACTGCCGTGCGGATCAACACAGGGTTTTCCATCACGTGTGGGGTTGGTTGGAGCATGAGATGGCCGGGCTTGACAGAAAGATGATTTTGCAAATCTTGCGAGGCTAGTGGATCCTGACCAGATCATCGTGGCACCGTGCTGGGACTTGTCAGCACGAGCCTCGAATGTTCGCGAAACATTGCAGCGGAGACCTGGGCAACCTTCAAGACCTGTTGTCTAAGATCATCGAGTTGGCGGGGACTTGGCCAGAACGAGGCATGGCCGGAAATTCAATTGTAAATTGCATGCTCTATGGGCCTTCGGAGTTCTTCTTGCATCAATTTGCTGTCTTGAATCTGCTTCCACATGCTGAGATGCGAGTCGGCCACTTCCTGACGTCGGTTTGCGCGACTTCGGGCGCATGGCACCTAGAGCAGTTGTTTGGCAGCTGGTACGCCCGTCCTGGTCTGTGCTGAGATTTCGACTTTCATGGATTGCAGGTCCGCAGACCCTCAACAATGGAGTGGTGCTGCTGCGTAACTCTGTCCGTGGCAATTTCTTCCTAGAGCTTCTTCTTGAGAAGGCGTGGGGCTCAATCACCCGACATCACCAGACTATACTTATAGATGGTTTTACTCCAGGCCCTTTGGTTCCAGACCATCGAGCGTGACCAGGGTCCCTTCGACGAGACCGTCCTGGAAGTGTTGGGAATGGAGGCAGGCTTTGCCCAACCACGAAGCATCTATCCGTGCCCCAAGAAGACAACACCTTTCCACATCCCTGAGATTCCACTTTGCCGTAGCGCCGAGGCCCAAATGCGGCATGGCGACTCTCACCTGAAATTGGAGTCGAAAGCTCTTGTGCGACAGTTAAACCTAACCACAACTACCCCAACTCGGAGTTATTGACTCTGGTACACTGAAATCTAAGATCTTGCGTACCTGCACGTTGCAGCAACAGCCGGAGAAGATCATGCGTCTTGCTGCTGACGCAGCATCGAAGTTTAGGGAGTTGCACAGCGCGGATTAACATAATCCAGTGATTGCAAACGGTTCTGGCTGCTAAGACCTGTCTGAGGGAGACGAAGCAGACAACGTTCCTCGGAAATCCCTGTTACCCACCAACCTCAACCCGAAAAAAAGTGTGGCAAGCCTGCAAAAGAACAAGAGGAGTGATTGTGTAAACCCTAACCAACCTGGAGAACGATGCAGCTACTCATGTGAGATCTTCTGGACCCTCAGGCCTGGACTGTCCGCGCTTAGTGCCTGTGAGGAGGTACAGTAACATGAGAAACAAAAACACACAGTTCGCTGTAAAGATGCAGGTAGACACATTCGTCAAGTCTTCACATGAACATGCTTTATTGCGTTGGGGTGGTCGACTGTGTCATTGCGCCTCTTTTGATCCTGAACTTCTGAGGCCACCTATGATTCGGAGTGCGCACAGTACCTCTTCCCCAACCATCAGGGGAGACTCGCCACAAAGGAGAAGCCCACTCCTCTACCAAGATGAGTTGAATATGCTTGACTCTGCATGACTCCTGCACAGCCACACCGCTTACATGACTGCTGTCGCGGCGAACCGAGGAACCACGAGGTCTCGCTCTATGCACTGTGTTGGTGGCGGGTCAGTGAAGAACTGGCCGGCCCCTTCGGCGACCGCAATTCAAGCATCATCAGGCACCGGCTTTGCAATGCTCGGGCCAGTCTGTCGGCAACGGTTTCTTGTTCGGTTCTTGTGCACACGGCTTGGACATGTTCCTGCTTCGGGTGGATTCCATGCTTGTGGTCACAGGGTGCGGTGACATCTCGCTACAAACACCCTTTGTCTCTGCATTGTCGTTTACAGTACGGTCAGTCACCAACAGGAAGGATGCTGATGACTTGCCTAGACAGTGACCGGACTCATGTGGTCGATGCTTCCTTATGTGAACTTGAAACAAACTCCTTCCATTCCAACAGCGGCAAGAATCATCGTCATGACCAGCTTGACCAGCGTCACCTCCGGGTGTAAGCTTATGACTAATGGTTTCCAAGCGAAGACGGTTAAATCAATGCTTCGTCGTCCTGCTTGTTTTCTACAAGTAGAATTCAGTTGTGTCGACAAGTATAAAGTTTGTAAGAAACTGTGCCCCTGCAGATTCGTCGATCCGCGTCTTACTGACATCAACCATGTTGTTGGCGCCAGAGGATTGTCCGACACTTTGGCTGAAGTTGGCATGCTGCAAGATGCAGCGCGGAAATCTTTTGTTCTGTGCAAAGGATCCGGCACTCCTCTACCACTTCGCGGGCCGCTCCAAGGACTGGGAGGCGATGCTGGAGACTTTTGGCGTGGATGCCGCGCGCCGCTTGGACCGCGAAATGGGACACACCGGCTCAGTGCTCAGCTTGAAGAAGCCAAGGAACACGTGCTTGCCAAGAGGTTTTTAGCTATGTCGACAACAGGAGCCGGGATGTGCGGAGCATCGACCAAGTCTGAGTTTCAGTGCGAGCGAGCACACGCTGTCACAGAAGCTGCAACTTGTAGGAGCTCTCTAGAAGACTGTGTTCCTGGTGGACCAGTTGTGCAAGAGTGCGAGCCGCCAGAGATAGTCTGCTGAGGGTGAATGGAGGGTGTCACTCATGGCACACAGTTGCGCGGACGAAAACGGGCCGGTCTGGGTGATTCTCAAGGTGGTGTAGCATCTTCGTTTGTATCTGTTGCTGTCTGTGTCTCGAATCCTCAGCGCGACGATCTGAATGAAATTTGCTGCCCACAGGCAAGATGCTGCAGAACGTTGTCCCGTAGCATCGGAGGCTGCCTGGTGTCCACCACATGCAAGAGCGAACATGTCGAGCGAAGTCGAATACGCTCGCCTGAGTTTCGGCACCAAATATTTCCAGTTAGCCCGCGGTACCAGGTGTCAGTCTTTGTCCAGGTTGAGCGGGCTTCTAACATGTTAGCCTACAGTGACACGTTTGTTGTGCCAGCACAGTCCTGCAACACACGCAAGGCACAGAAGCAGGCGAGTATTGCACCCAGACGATGCGCACTTTGTCCAGCATAATGTACTTCGCTGGCCTAACAGACTGAGGTGGCAAGATGATTATGGACTATGCTTATGGGGGGGGACCGCTTCTCCTTTCGGTCGGGATCCTTGCAGATATGGCTTTGCGGCACCTCGAAACGTCATCTCCTCAGGAGGTGGCTCAGCACCTGGACCAGACCTTCTGCAGCCGAGACAAGTGCCACCTGGGTGGCCTTTCTGCACGAGCACGGCAGAGCAGGGTGCAGGGGACTTGAACACACGCCAAAGGAATCATCTCTGCCGGTGGAGCGTCAAGCTTAGCGCCTGTCATGTCGTCGAAGTAGCTTCTCAACATGCCTCAACGGAACCGCAAACCGGTATCAGGGCAGTGGGCCTGATGAGCAAGGAGTTTTGTTCGCGGGGTGCTGAGTTCACTACGCCTCAATCGGGTAGCATCTGCTCTTGCTCATCTTCGCAGACTTTGCAGTTGCGTCTGAACTGAGTCCAAGCTAGATGCTGCCTCCCCTGGCAAAGCTGGCGATGCTTCGTTCAGCCGGCGACTCTGATACATACTTGTACCTGGCAGTGAAAGCACAAAAGCTAGCTGCGTTGGAACACAGCTTCAGTGCTTCTTGCCCGCCTTTTTCCTCATGTTTTCCCAGTGTTTTCAAGAGGGACGGATCCCCTCGTGAGATTCAACGTCAGGTGCAGGGGCAATCATGCATTTAAGGCCTGGCAAGCACCTCCCTCACGCCTCCAGGAGTACAATGTAAGACTTTGAGCATCGTACAACAGACAGACTGCTCGGTTTTCGTGATGCTCACATGAAGTGTTAAACAAAGTCATAAGAACGCAGGGCACCTCGCTCTCTGCATTTTGGCGTGCTGTCGCATTGCATGATGTCCATTTGTGCTATGTGCAAGCTATTACAAGCTCCTTCTTCATTTACTGAGGTCATTGGGGAGAAGGCCCTATGAGTGCACAGAAGATAGTCTTCTGTCCAGATCCAGACAAGGTGGGGTTGCTCTTGGGTTAGAGCGCTGCGTCATGATCTGCACTGGGGAAAGATTCGTGGCGTCAGGGCAAGGCTGCCAAGAAGCTGTACGACTGGAGCGAAGCCCAGTCGGAGCACTGTTGGGAACTGTTCCCGTGACACGTTCGCCTCGTGACAGGATATTGACATGTTCCCCTTCTGCTGAACTCGTTTGTGGGAACCTGTCTTATGAGGCTGAACAATGAGAAGCAAGCCGGCATCGCCAAAGATGAGGCGACTGATCCTTGTTATAGGGCGTACGTGTTTGTGCGACTATGGCCGTTGAGAATTCTTAGGACGGCATGCAAGATGCGCTTCGGGTCGCTACCCATAGTGACTTGACTTCTCAGGTGTACTTCTTTGATGACCACACGGGCAACGCTAAAGAAATGGCAGAGTTTGGCTTCAATGGCCGAGAGGTGCGGTGCAGCAGAGTGTATTTCATCACATGACAACTGCTGCCACTTGCAGCTATGTCCCAGATAGCCTGTGAGCCACGGGACAAGATGATCGGCGATGGAATTGTTGGTTTGTGCGGAGCCCTCCTGCCGGATACTCGGGGTGTCCACGCTCGCAGATGTTCAGCTAACCGCCATGGCTTCAGACTTTGATGTAGATGATAAGATACTCCGTACTTCTGCCGGTGCAATCGAACTTAAGGCGCGAGATTCAACGCGAGAAAGGAATCAAGACATGCAAGCAGCTGATCGCGGACGGCTTCTACTAATGTGTGGCGCTACAGAAGCAGCATGCCAACACAACTAGTTTCACGCTACGTTTCACTACAAAACGCATAGATTCTGTAGCTTTTCCCTTCGAAAACAGGGCCAGCTTGTAACTTGAACTGCGCGGGCTTAGGTCTGCCCGGTACTGGTGGTAATTAATGAGTACTGACTGATATAGAAGAACTGAAGTTATTTTCCCGATAGATATTCTAGATTAACAAATTCCCCAAATTTCGGGTAAGTAATATGATTATTTTTTAGTATTTTCGAATATAAGAAGATTTTATACTCTGATAAATTAGAATTTTCATACTGATCTGATAACAACAGAGAGCTGAATAAATTTGAATAATATCTTTTCATAATTCAGCATCTTCGTATAATTAGGAATAGGAATCTTGATAATTTCTGATACTCTGAAAGTGTTATGCGTTGATTCTATTTTCGGATTGTGATCGTCGATACGAGACCATGATATTGGGGTCGTCGATTAGTTCGCGGCGGTTTGCTTTTAGATTAAAATGGAATCTTTAGGATGAAATTTATATTTTCGGGTTATTGGGGGATTTCGTACTAGACTTATTACGTGGTACGAACTCTCTCTTAATTCTCGGGAATTTTGCGGACTCGTGCTAAATTCTCGTAATTTCTGGAAATCTCCGGAAAAGTACGATTTCATATTATACCAAATGCTCGGGGAATTCTGTGCATTGCATTAGATATTATCGATATCTTACTGAAATTGCTCAAGCTACGCAAGATATATAGGACTCAAGATATCATGGATATAATATAGGTCATAATATTATAGCGAATAATATGTTATATATATTAGGTCTACCCTATAATTCGCACTATCGTTTTCGAGTGCAGCATTGTGCAAGCTACTCGCACCGTACAAGCCACGCAGGTCTCAAGCTTATACTAGTATAGGATTTTTAGTGCTTGTAGTGCTCCTTGGCATATATCAGTACAGCATAGTACATTAAGACGCATTCTTCGGAAGCCTGCGCATGAGTCTCCTTTATTCTGCAAGTCTTTTGGCTTCCATTAATTCTAGCAGATGATCGACCAGATAGATAGACCGGAACGTGGACACGCAAGATGCGGGCGAGGGCTTGTGTCGTGGAGGAGTGGCGGGCGAGGGCGTGTCGAGGTGTGTCATAGGAGGGGTTGGCGATGGCGTGGGTGTCGTGAGTGTGTTTGCGCATGGAATATTTGATCGGTCAAGTTGATGGAGATTCGAGGTTCGGAGCTCGGTTCCTCGAACTTCGAACCTGTGAACCTTGAAGCCTGAGCCGCCAACTTCTAAGCTCTCGAACTTCCGATCGAACCTCGAACTACGAACCCCGAATTTGTCTCGAACTCGAACCCCGAACCCTGTTCGGAGTTCGAGGTTCGGGGTTCGAAGTCAGGGTTCAGGATTCAGGGTTCCGAATCGGTATTCGAGGTTCAGGTTCGGAGAGTGCGGAGTTCGGGATTCGGAGTTCGGGGTTCGGGATTCGGGATTCGGGGTTCGGGGTTCGGGATTCGGGGTTCGGGTTCAGGCTTCGGGATTCGGGGTTCGGAGTTCAGGTTCGGGGTTTTGGGATTCGGGGTTCGGGTTCGGGGTTCTACATTAAGAATGGATTTATATCAATCGCCGATCACTCGCTACTGTATTGGAACAAAATAACGAACTCTGTGCAAGGAGTTAGATGTAAGGTACCACTTGCCGAACACAAGCAAATTGGAACTTTGATAGTATGCATGAAAAAGAAAATAAGGAGAAATATGGTGGGGAAAACCGGGTCAATAAGGGTATGAGTTAGATATAGCGGTAATATAGTCTTTTACGGAATACCATAGAGCCCAAATTCTTCTAAGAAAAAAGTTCAATCTAAAGAACCCACAACTTATTGCGTTATTTGGGATATTTTGTGGCTTGGATAATTATATGAAGTTCATATTATTCGGGTCAAGCTATTGGGCAACCAAAAGAAAATATCTGAAATCAGAGAGTAGGTTTTAGGAATCTGATAATTGGGATATATAGTCCTGTTATTTCACTCATTTCACTTGATGCTATTATGTGGTAAGAATTTAGAGATTGTAACTTGACACCTCCTTTTTTGTTTTAGTTGAACTTTGTTTTTGATATTGTTGCAGTTGCTGTCTCACAGCTTCTATAGCCGACTAAATAATGGCTCTTGATACCACTTAATGGGCGCTAACAAAAGAAAGGCAGCACAAGTGCACCCAGCGAAGCGTTAAATGTAGGTATTCGCATATAGGACACCTAAATATATCAGATTCAGAACAAGGAGGTTCTTGGTTAATCGTTGGAGATTCGAGATTCGGAACTCACTACTTCGAACCCCTGAATCTCGAACCCTGAACAACCAACCTGCAAACTCTTTCGATCGAACTTCGAACTACGAACCCCGAATTTATCTCGAACCCGAACCCCGAACCCGTTTGAATGCAGGGTTCAGGATCCAGGATGTCGGATCGGGATTCGAGGTTCAGGTTCGGAGAGTTCGGAGTTCGGGGTTCCGAGTTTGGGGTTCGGGGATCTCCGGCTTCAGGGTTCGGGATTCGGGGTTTAGGTTCGGGGGTTCGGGGTTTTGGGATTCGAGGTCGGGGTCGGGGTTTGGGGTTCAGGGTTCCGGTTCGGGGTTGGGGACTCGAGCTCCGAGATTCGAATTCAAGGATCAAGGTTCAGGGCTCTAAATAGAGCCCCAAATTTGGGACCCTATACTAGATCTTCCCGGGAGTCTGGATATTGAATAAAAATTAATTGTTTTTTTTATTTATTCAAGGAAAACCAATGATATATATATATATATATTTATATTATTTGATACATTTAATGACTTATATATATATACATATTGATATATTGATTATTTATATAAATATGATTATATATATGCTATTATATATAATATAGTTTTTTCTAAATAATTTTGAACTTCGTGATAATTCTATATCCTCTTAGATTTAGGCTTTTGATATATGATCTCGATATAGTATTAGGTTTTGAAGCTGCCATCAAATTATATTTCGATAATTATATGCTTTATTAGTCTTACGATATTTCATATATATATTATGAGAAATAATTTCTATAATTATAAAAATTAAATTTGCTTATTTATCTGAAGCTCAATATCGATTCGAATATTTTTTCATTATAATTTCAATTCAAAAATATTATATTTCATATCTTTAAAAAGAAAAGAATGAATAATAAAAATTGCTAAATAAGAATATCTTAAAGATTAATCTTATATATTAGATCATATATTATTTCTGATAGAGAGTATAATCTTTTAATTTATATTCTTTTTAAGAAATTTTTTATAAATTCATATTTTAATTTATATATCATTTATATAAATATATTTTCATATGATATTATATAGATTTATTTTCCTATTATATATTCCTATTTCTATATGATTTCCTATATCGATCTGAAAGATAATAAAGATCACAATCCCCCAAAATAAATCTTATCCACTAGTTAAGTATTATCCATGAGAGCTTCCCTAATCTCCCTATTTCGGATAATTCCTTTAATTGCAAACCAATCAATGATCTTAGGAAAAATCTTGATCATTATCTTTATCAATAAGATAGCTCATCTAGATTTATCTTTGGACTCGATCAGATTCAATCTTTTTGAATTAGAAATTATGATATTCCTACTACTAGCTAGTATTAATATTAAAAAGTATTTAAAATATATATTATCTATATATTGATTTCAATTATTGCCATGATATTCATGATATCATAATTTATCTATATAAAATAAATTCTTTAAATATCTATGATCCTTATTATCTTCGCTCTGGGCAAGCTGCTCATACTGAATTTTGAATAATTCGATAAATATCTAATAACCCAAAATGATTCGCAACATGATGCGTCATCGCAGACTTTATATCGAAGATCAAGGCAGCAAATCCAGCTTAAAGTCGCAGAATTTTGGCATTTCATAAGGATGCACTTTGAGCCCGCTTCTGTTTATCATCGTCATGACGGTCTTGATGCACGATGCTATTTCAAATCTAAATGGTGCTGCACTGTTTGCATACAATCGTGGGGATTTGGCCGATATTATTTATACCGATGATATACTGTTGCTTGGCACATCCGACCCGCATTTGCAGGACTATCTATCTCAGATCGCAGACGCAGGGCTGTTGTATGGCATGGAGCTTCACTGGGATAAGTTTCAATTGCTACAAATTCAATGTCAAGCAGTCATTCAGACTCCGACAGGTGAATATATTTCATCAAAATTGGGCATCGATTATTTGAGATCTGTTCTTAGTCATGATGGGCTACCAGGCCATGAACTTGGTCGGAGAATCGGGATTTTCTTGAGCTCCAAAAAGTTTGGAAGCATTCTTTATTGCCGCGGGATCGGAAGATTCAAATCTATAAAGCTCTTATTGAATCGAAACTGATGTATTCTCTGAGCTGCTTGTATTTATCTTCCGCGGATCGCCGGCGTCTTGATGGCTTTCAAAACCGTTGCTTACGAAAGATTCTGGGCATACCACCTGCTTTCATCTCGAGAGTATCCAATACGGAAGGGAGACCGCGACGTGAATGGGTCATATTTATTAGGGATAAGGCATGTCAATTCAAAAAAAGCCTCCGTGAGATAACCAGACTTATATAGAATCCTCATATCTGGAATCATACGGCGTGCCAGTTTACCTATCCACGCGCCGTCCGGCATATAACTGACTGACTGAGACCAGCCCTTATAATAGATATTATTCTAGATATCGATCGTCTGCATATATATATAAATATTGAAAGC